GGAAATAAAGATCGAGCAGGAAAGTTCAACTAAAGAAGGTTAGCTAAAATCAAGGAGACATGGGTCTGCAAAACATATATGTTTGTATATATGGAATTATAGAAAAATAAGGATTTTGCAGAAGGAAGAGATTACAGAGAACGTTAGACAATTGGCCAAACAAAACACTTCAGTTGAAAGTGGTGGTGCTTCAGAAGGTAACTGCCACTAACTGAGGAAAGTTTTCAGAGATCATGGATGACAAAGATGTAGATGATAAAATCATGTCTGAAAAAAGGAAAAAAAGCGAGGAAACGTGGGACATGTATAAGCCTTTGAAGAAACCAAGTGGAAAACTCAGTTCAGAAATATACATTACTTGAAATCATGGAGGACATAGTTGAAGATATGGTCAAAAAAAAAAAAAAAAAAAAAAAAAGGAGGAGGAGATAAGGAACAAGATGGAAGAAGGAGGTTTCAAATTGCCAAAGGATCATGGAACACTTGGCAGCTTCAAGCTTAGCCAAGTAGAAGCTGCCAAGGCTGCCACATTAAGCTGCTGCATGTGAAGAAACTCTATAAATAGAGCACCAAGATGTAACATACAGGTCTCCTCAATTCTCCCCTCAAACACTGCTCAAAGCCCAACCTGCTCAACGCATACAACACAAACATCTTTGCTAAATCATATAACTCTCATTTCAACAATGAGTTTACATTATGTTTAAACCTAGCACTTTCTTAGTACATGTATTGTCCATTCCAGCAATGAATGTAGATCATTTTAAGTTGAGTCTAGCACTTTGCTATCTTGTATAGTATTCATTCCAGCGATGAATTCTCATAACGTTTGAGTTAAGTCCAGCACTCCTTTTGCTACTTCCGGCCAAGCACTGCATTTCTATATCATTTAATTTCCAGTCCTGCACTTCAATTTCTTTAATTTCTAGCCTTGCACCTTCAAAACCGTCTTCATTTCCATTAGCCATAGAATAGTACCAAAGTCCTTTTCTAAAGGCAAAAAAGACCCTTCGAAGATGGTCATTCCAGACCTTTGTACAATCGCCTGATCCCATCAAACCTTCAACTGGATAATTATTTGGATATCTACTTTGGAACGACAGCAGTTCCTGGCACTCTCGCAACCCTACTATTCTATTCTTCCACTAATCCACCACAATCTAGAACGCAGAACCAACACTTTTTTGTGAGCCAAACACTTATAATTGCATTACCCCTGGTCAACTCATTGAGTACCTAAGTTGCATCTCCAAAAGTTGTATAACTCAATGGGCAATACATTTTAGCTCCTGCCCAGTGCCTCCAAGACAAGAAAAATCTATCTTACGCTCAGCTCCTTTCCTGCCATGTCCTATTCAAACCTTCCAAAATTAACTTCAATCTGCACAATGTCCTATTCAAACCTTCCAAAATCAACGTGAATCTGCACAAACCGACGCATTAGATTGCTTATTCTTTACTATCTCTGCAAAAGTAAAACCAATATCTATGTGAACAATCTCAGCATGGCTAGAAAAAAAACTTCAACCTTTCCAATCATAGTCATCAATCCTGACTCAAAAAGTAAAAACCACATCACTTTTATCCATAGTATAATTAGCATAAACGGTACCATGAATCCCAAGCATTTAAAGGATAGCTCATCAGAACAAGAATAAGCCTCAATACCCATCAAAGTACTACCACCAGAAGACAAAACCAATCTATTCCACTCCGATGTAAAGCTAAATTCTGTTCCAAATAGTGGGCCATATCAAGCAGTAGCGTTACACAGAAAGTAACCAAAAGTGGTTGCGTATGAGGTCGGGGTTCTGTACAGGCAGGTGCACTAACTAGGGAGAGCTAACACGAACCCATGGTGGCTTGATTTTATAGCTATCAAACCCATTGTGGGTTCGGTGCACACCATTTTGCTGTTGGCAACAACACATCCAACCTAACACAGGCGACCACTAGCAATTCAAAAAATATAAATGGATCATTGTTGATGGTTTGTTGGTTTAGTAGATCATAATCACTAGGGGTGCAACTGGGGCGACTTAGGTGAGTTAGGGGCTCAATCTTGAGGTATGAAATCTTTAACACTAACCCAACATAACTCAATCCACCATCAACCCAAGCTAATCAATTGAGCTCAACCTGTCCGTAATTTTTCAACTTTGGGTTGAATAAGCTTGCAAATCGAACTGAAATAAATTAAATTCAGATTACTTCAGTAACAAATTAAATAACCATATGTTAATGTCAGGTTCTACGATAAGACAAATCATTTCAATAGCAATGAGAATACTGAGAAATAGAGGCCTAATTGGAGCACTGAGATGTCACAAGGAGTAGTCCTCATGTGGAGGATCGAGGAAGAGGAGGTGGAGTTCTGCTCTTGATGATCTCTCTAGAGTTAGTACAAGAGGGCACGAATTATATAAGATAAACCTAAAATTCAATTCGATTCAATTCAATAAGAAGTCTAATCATTAAATTATGTAAATAAATTTGAATTTACATGGAATCAACTTCATTTTATGTATAGGAATTATAAAATGTGGTCCTAGTGAGATATACGACAACATATAGGAAGTATGGCCCGGGTGTATCTGACATTTTCTGCATTGCAGCCCTAAGATCTCCCTTCTTGGTACACCGGCTGCAGGTATCCCACAAGCTTCTGCAAACTTCATAACATGTTCAGGAATATCAATCAATCTCATTTTCTTGGTCAGGAGGAGATCCATTGATACAACAACAGCATCAGCTCAGGTACAAGAGTGAGGTGTATCTAGTGTATGTTCTGTAAGAGAATTCAGAATCTGTTTAAATTGGTTCAGCAATATCTATATACATTATACTACATGTTTGCACTATGAAATTTGAAACATATAACAGCTTCTTGTATGCACAGCCTATCAAGTGAGACATCTTTCAAAAAGCTAAAAGTCCAAATAAGAAAGTATCATAAAAAGTATAATTAACTGCTGTGATAACCTAAAGTAGTGTCCCAAAATTGTTCTTAGCATTTCATTAAAGAAGCAACCAATTTCACTTTTTTCTAATAATAATTCAACCCAATTCCACAAAATCATAAGCTACACCAAGATTCATTTCTTGAAGGAGATGAATGTTTAAGGCCAGTAAATCTTAGGAACCATATCCTTGTAAACTTTCATATTGCAATGTAGTTTATTACTAAGAGAGAATTTGTTGCCCTACCAGGTTCATGGTCCTTTCTACGGATAGCTTGTTGACCTATCAGACATGGTCCGCTGAGGTTTCTGGACTTTCCTAAATCATTACAACCCGAATTTCAAAATCCTGCTAGGTCATTTTACTTGATATCCTCGTATTCCAAGATCTTACAGTGAAGTGTTGAGTATAAATTCTGAAGATAACACTGCTTCCAGTGGAAAAAACTGGAGGATGTCACATAACAATACGTGGGTGCAAGTTTTCACAAGACCTTTACCCCTTACATTGTAGCATGCCAACCAGTATCACTTTTCAGACTAAGTCTAAGGAAAGATTTATTGCTAATTTGCTATATCCAGTAGCAGTCTACTTTTAGGTGCAAGTCAACTCAATTACCTCATTATTCAAGCATGAAATCAAAATTGTTTCAGCCCAGAAATAGTCTCCTACATGATTTATGCAGTCAATTCAAAAGCTAATTGAAAAGAAATCTAAGCAAATGCATCTAGGATTCCCAGGGCATAGCCCCCAACCCGTACTCGTACCCACCAAAGTGATGCCAACGAACATGTAATGAAACCTACTAGACACTTTTAACATAAAGAATAATCTCTCACAATGATTCTGGACATAAAGGGATCAACTTTGAAAATTGCATAAAGGTACTAAAAATCACAACCAAACTCCGCTACTTGACTCTTACAAGTCCTCAAGCCAAACCCGACAAAGGGGTGGAATCATTCGTTCTCCCTACTTAAACCAGCAGCACAAGAATTCTCCCTTGATCAAAATTTGGCATGTGACACTGGGGCTTGCCTTGTGTTTGGAGGGAAATTGTCTTTCACTAAAAGAATGGGACACCTTAAAATCAAAAAATTAAATAATAATAATTAACTCGTGCCAAACATTTTATTGTAATATGTGAAACATAAGCAAAATAGCATTTACTTCTGACGCCACGAGAATGGTACAGACAAAAAGAAGAGGCATAACCAAAGGGTCAATCATGTAATAAATACGTATTTCAATTACAATATTTCTTTTAATTTTTATGTTAAAGGGATACAAGCTCATTATTGAACTTAACGCTAGCAATATTAATCCTTAATCCAGTTGCAATAAACTCCACCACTCTACAAGCAAAGCTTAAAGATCATTTTCAATCATTCACATTTTCTTAAATGTCTACCTCAACAAGAGATTAATGTGCATACCTCCGTAAAAAATAAAATAAGATAAGAAGGGATCAGGCACCCTTTTCAATCATATTAAAACCTCATTAGTCCAAGCCATGGAGAAGGATTATAAACACTACAATTTATTAAAGCAAAATGAGCATCTTTGGGGAACTAAAACCAATTCATTTACTGTTATACCCATGCCGCTTCTTCAATCTTCTCTATAAATGAGACATCTCACTATCCACCAAGGTAAGGGTCTCCCAAGAAACTCCACTTGGTCATACGCTGCCTATTTTCCTTTCTTATACTCACTCTCCCTAACCACTCACAGTCACAGCTATGACACATACAAGCATAAATTATTATTAAACTGTACATGATACGTGTGACTTAAATAATGGAATGTTTCAGGCATGGGAGTTGTGGATTGCTGATACGGAGGGATGGATTTGATGGACCTAATATTGGATAATCCTTCTTCCACTTCTACATTGTTGAGATACATTAAAATAGGGCTTCTCCATCTCCAAGGAAATCCAAATGATCGAACTACCATGTCTGATGTTGTCTCAATGCTTAGAATGAATATGCACCTCTACCAACGCCTAAGGAAACTACATTTTCTACCTGCCGGCCTCAGGTGAACACAAATGCAGCATCACTTAGCATTGCTGAAAACTGTTCAGTAAATACAGTAACACATTCAGTCTGATACAAAATGTCTTGGAATATGAAATTATGATCTCGCGTCAATAACTGAAAGTGTTACAGTATTTATTCAATAGCTTTCAGTATTACTAAACGTTGCATTTGTGTTCACCACAGCCCGGTAGGGAGAAAATGTAGGTTCCTTAGGTATTGGTAAATGTAACGACCCACTCCACCACATGGTATAATATTGTCCACTTTGGGCCTGAGCCCGCACGGTTTTGTTCTTGGGCTTCACCCCAAAAGGCCTCATACCAATTGGAAATGATGCACTTACATATAAGCACTTCACCTTTCCTCTACCCAGGCGATGTGGGACTTGTGCACCCGTAGCTTGCCAGTGTGGTACCCTGACAGTGTCTCTTGCACCCGCCCATGGCACACCCGCCCACAAGGTCATCACAATCCACCCCCCCTGGGGGCCCGACGTCCCCATCGGCTGTGATGACCCTGTGGGCTGGTGTGCCGTGGGCGGGTGCGAGAGACACTGTCAGGCTACCACACTGGCAAGTTACGGGTGCACAAGTCCCACATCGCCTGGGTAGAGGAAAGGTGAAGTGCTTATATGTAAGTGCATCATCTCCAATTGGTATGAGGCCTTTTGGGGTGAAGCCCAAGAGCAAAACCGTGAGGGCTCAGGCCCAAAGCGGACAATATCATACCATGTGGTGGAGTGGGTCGTTACACCTTGTGGGCGGGTGTGCCGTGGGCGGGTGCGAGAGACACTGTCAGGCTACCACACTGGCGAGCTACGGGTGCACAGTCCCACATCGCCTGGGTAGAGGAAAGGTGAAGTGCTTATATGTAAGTGTGTCATCTCCAATTGGTATGAGACCTTTTGGGGTGAAGCCCAAGAGCAAAACCGTGAGGGCTTAGGCCCAAAGCGGACAATATCATACCATATGATGGAGTGGGTCGTTACAAATGGTATTAAAGCCTGACCTAGCCAGAAGTGTGCCGACGGGGACGTCGGGCCTCCAAGGGGGGTGAATTGTGATGACCTTGTGGGCGGGTGTGCCGTGGGCGGGTGCGAGAGACACTGTCAGGCTACCACACTGGCGAGCTACGGGTGCACAGTCCCACATCGCCTGGGTAGAGGAAAGGTAAAGTGCTTATATGTAAGTGTGTCATCTCCAATTGGTATGAGACCTTTTGGGGTGAAGCCCAAGAGCAAAACCGTGAGGGCTTAGGCCCAAAGCGGACACATACCATATGGTGGAGTGGGTCGTTATAGTAAAGATCATTTTCAGTCATTCACATATTTCTTGGATGTCTACCTCGACCAGAGATCAATAGATCCATCATTCAACCGGTAAATTGTTTAAAAATGACAAAAAGGGATCAAATTCTCTGCTCGATCATCTTCTATTATTTTTGTTTCATCATCATTTATATTACTTGGAAGCTAAATTACTCAATTTGTGTGAGACAATTCATGATGTGAAAAGTACATAATAGGAGCAATAATCAGAACTGGAACATATAACATGCACAGCAAAACACGCCATAAAAAATCATAGACCTGAACCAAAAAGTGGTTGTCTATGTGTGAGGGGCTAGTTCTCCAGCTAAGGCAGTTGCAGTTTCAATTTTTAACAATTCACCAGTCCAGAGCTAGGGTATTCATGTGTAGGATAGTTCTCCAGAGCTAAGGCAGTCTCAATTTTTAACAATTATTCATGTATAGCTAGTTTTCCAGCTAAGGAAGTTTTTAACAATTCTCCAGAGCTAAGGTTCGAATTTCAGTTTTTAACAATTCTTTCCAGCTAAGGCAGTTTCAGTTGCACATTCCAATCCAACCACTTTAATGCCCCGTTTGGTCACAAGCCCGCGCTACTGGGCTCGGCGATATTGGATTGCAACGCCGCTTATTATTAACCGAAATCTAATATTCTATTTTATCGATGTGGGATTGGGATTTGGAAATTTAAGCAACCCGTAAATTAATGAAATAAATTACCTCGCCTCTGTGCCTGCCGATCACCCCTCTCCTCTCCTCTCGGGAATCCATTGCCACCGCTTTGAAGAACCCATTCTGCCATTGTGGGTTGGTCTTCGGAAATGGAGGTTTGGGGGGTTATGGTGATGGTGGGTTTGGAGTTGCAGACGACGTTTGATCGAGATGTGTTTTGGGGAATGAGTCCGCCATTTTTTAGGTTCCGATGAAAACAGAGGGTTCAGAATTGGGCTTATGTTTGGCAGTCAGGATATGAAAAGAAATGGAGAGGGGAATGGAAGTAGGGAAGGGAAGTGGTATGAGCAGTTTTGTGCGGAGAGGATCCATTCACAAAAGGAAATTGGGTGGGACATGTAACGAGGATACACTATTATCTAGCCTATCTTTGTTTAATCACATAATTGAGATAAAGTAGCATTGGGCTATGTTTGGGAGCCAGGATATGAAAAGAAATCGAGAGGGGAATAAAAGAAGTAGGGACGGGAATACTTTAATTTTATTTATGAGTACGTGATAGTGTTTTCTATAAATAAAATAATTATTTTAATTCTCTTAAAATGACAACTTAATAGACGAGGTCGAAAGATTGAAAAAATAACAAGTTTTAAGGAACAAGAAAAGGTGCTCAATATTGTACTTTTTTTATTATTATTTAAAACTGGAAACTTGATTTAAGGATCTCAATAAATAACTTAGAAACCTATTATCTCAACTTGAAAATTTAGAAATAGTTGAGACTTTCCTACAAATCAAATAGAGAAATATTTAAAAGGACTAAGTTGAAAATTTAGAGATAAAAATCTCTCCAATACTTTCTTGGGAAAATTAGATTTTAGTGACCAAAAAAGACAAATAGTCACCAAACTAAAAAATTAATTGCTAAATATTAAACACCTTAAACGGGTTCGGGTCATAAACGGATTGACACGATTAATCCGTTCACTTAACTATATAGGTTTAGTGTTAAGGTGTTCAACTCGTGTAAACCATTTATGATCCGTTTAAATCAATATGTTATAATCATGAATATGACATATGTAATATGTTACTAGTTTAAACTCAATTATTATGTAAGTTAAGTTATTTTAACATAAACCTTGTCTATACCTTTTGATTTTTTTCTTATTTTGAATAAATGGGTTAATTGTGACAAAATTTTATTATTATTATTATTTATTATTAGATTAAATATTAAATGTCTCGTTTTGATAAATACGTCATTAAATGGGTTAACTCATTTACCCATTTAATAAACGGGTTGGGTTAGTATTGAGGATTCTTAACACCATTACTAAGTGGGTTAGGTTTAGATTTACCTGTTACGTATAATACCTTTATATCTACATGACACGATTATGATACATGAACACGAATTGCCACCCCAATCTATGCCAAACATCAAGTAAAGGTCTAGTGGTCCACCATTGACTGGTGGCTTTTGGGTTTTTTCCTTAGTATAAAACGTTTTACAACGGGTGATTCAAACTTTAGTTATTAACAAAGAATATTAAGATGAAATCCTAAGAGGTAGATATGATTATTGACTTTTATTTGTAGTTTAGTATTAAATGTTTAACACCACGATGATTCAAACTTTAATTGTTAATAAAGAATATTAAGATGAAATCCTTGATATGATTTTTGACTTTTATTTGTAATTTAGTATTAAACGTTTAAGAATAGGGTGATTCAAACTTTAATTGTTAACAAGATGAAATCTTAGGACGTTGATATGATTTTTGACATTTAATTGTAAACAAATGGAAGGATATGCAACTTTTCAAATTGTTAATTACCTTATATTTTAAACAACTTTCCAAATATTTAAAATAGATTCATTATATTTGACATATGAACATCCACGTATACTCGGTGAACTAGTAGGTTTTTATTTGTCGAGTAAATAGAATGACTCTTAATTTATTTATTTTAATAAATCCAAACAAAGGAAATGAATATTATCTTCTCTTCTTTGATATCTTTTTTTTTTTTTAAAACGAAAATTCCAAAATAAAATAAAATAAGGTGGGACCATATCCTATATTCTTTTCCTAAAGAATGATGAAAGTCTATTCTTTCTTTCTTTCCTTTTTTTAAACTTTCCAAAATTTTGTTTTACCATTTTTATTCAATTAAGAACATGATGAATACTATTAGTTTTTTTTTTTTTTTTTTTTTTTTTTTTTGTAAAGTTCCAACAAATTTTAAGCTTAAAAATTCTATTTTTTTTATTTTTTTTTTTCAATCGATTGAAATGGTTAGAAACTCAAAAAAATAAATTAATTATTATTTGACATGTGAATTAGCTCAAAATTTGTACTTGTAATAATTTAAACATGTGAAAAAATTGCTTTATTTGGTATTATTCATAATTTTTCTCCTTAATTCGTATAATTAGAACCCATGTCAAACATTAAGTGAAGGTCCAGTGGTTCACCATCCACCAATAAGTGGCTTTGGGTTTTATTTATTTATTTTTTTTATAGAATAACTTGAAAAATAAAACGCAAGACGCAATTACACGTCTTTTAATTCATAGTCTATCAAGTGGGATAGAATCATCAAAATAGTTCTTATCATCTCTACAACTACCATTAGTTTCACTTTTTCTAATAATAACTCAAACCTAGCTAATTCTACATTATCATTAGTTGCACCGTTCCTATCCTATGCACTACACAAAAAATTGTTGCATTGCTTGGACGGCCCAGAAGCATCACACACATGCGATAACGCACACGTGATAATTGTAGATCATCTGATGCGACACTTATAAATTATGAAGATATAAAATGGATGCCAAATAACGACACGTGGGTGCAAGTTTTCACATCGTGGATCAAATTAAAAGTAATATCTAATGCTACATCTAGAAGGAAGTCGACTTTTATTTATAAATCAAATTTTGTACTACTTTGAAAACTGGTTGAATGGAATGCCTCATTATTCAAACATGAAATCAAATTGTCAATTCGAAAGCAAATCCAAAATACAATCTAAGGAAGTCCATCTAAAGTCCAAAAAGCTCCTACCAAGATGCCGAGTGCCTAGCACATTAAATGTCACACTAGCAGGATGGATGGCCTGAACT